CAACAACCTTGAAAAAGAAAAGCAAGGCTGGAGATATAACAATTTTGAACTTCGAGTTATGCTACTAAGTGGTAGGGATCAAAACACTATGGTACTGGCACAAAAATAGACACACAGATAAATGGAACAGAATAGAAAACGCAGAAATGAACCCACAACTATGTGGTAAACTAATCTTCAACAAAGGAGGAAAGAATATCCTATGGGAAAAAGACAGTCTCCTCAACAAATGGTGTTGCTAAAACTGGACAGCAACATGCAGAAGAATGAAACTGGACCAGTTTCTTACACCATCCACAAAAATAAATTCAAAATGGATGAAAGACCTAAATGTGAGATTGAAACCATAAAACTCCTAGAGGAGAACACAGGCAGTAACCTCTTTACATCAACTGTAGCAACTTCTTTCTAGATATGGGTCTAGAAGGGAAGGGAAGGCAAAGGAAACAAAAGTAAAAATAAACTATTGGGACTTCATCAAAATAAAAAAGGTTCTGTATAACAAAGGAAACAATCATCAAATCTAAAAGGCAACCTATGGAATGGGAGAAGATATTTGCAAATGACATATCTGCTAAAGGGTTAGTGTCCAAAATATATAAAGAACTTAAACACTCAACACCCAAAAAATGAATAATAATCCTATTAAAAATGGGCAGAAGACATTAATAGACATTCTTCCAAAGAAGACATGCAGATGGCCAACAGACACATGAAAAGATGCTGAACCTCACTCATCATCAGGTAAATACAAATCAAAACTACAATGAGATATCACCTCACACTTGTCAGAATGGCTAAAATCAGCAACACAAGAAACAACAGGTGTAGGTGAGGTTGTGGAGAAAGGGGAACCCTCTTGCACTGTTGGTGGAAATACAAACTTGTCCTGCCACTCTGGAAAACAGTATGGAGGTTCCTCAAAAAGTTAAAATAGAACTACCCTATGATTCATCAATTGCACTACTAAATATTTACCCAAAGAATACAAAAAATACTAATTCAGAGGGATACATTCAGCTCAGTGTTTATAGCAGCATTACCTACAAGTTCCAAATTATGGAAACAGCCCAAGTGTCCAAAGACTGATGGATAAAGAAGACATGGTGTATATGTATACAATAGATTATTACTCAGCCATAAAAAAGAAAATCTTGCCATTTGCAATGATATGGATGGAACTAGAGAGTATTATGCTAAGTGAAATAAGTCAGTCAGAGAAAGACAAATACTATTTCATTCAAGTGTGAAATTTAAGAAACAAAACAAATGAACAAAGAGGAAATAAAAAGAGGGAGGCAAACCAAGAAACAGACTCTGAACTATGTTACCAGAAGGGATGTGGGTGGGAGGATAGATGAAATAGTTGATGGGGATGAAGGAATGCACTTGTTGTGATGAGCACCAGGTGTTCTATGGAATTGTTGAATCACTATATTTTGCACCGGAAGCTAATATTACACTGTATGTTAAATAACTGGAATTTAAATAAAAACATTAAAAAATTAACACGAAATCCTTCTGAAACTTTTCCAAAAATTTGAAGAGGAGGGAACACTCCCAAATGCATTTCACAAGGCTGGCATTACCCTGATATCAAAACCAGAAAAGGACACTAGAAGAAAAGAAGATATCCCTAATGAATAAATATTCAAAAATTTCCAAAAAATACTAGCAAAATGAATTCAACAGTACATTAAAATGATCATAATCATGATCAAAGGGATTTATGTCTGGCTACATAGGCAAATCAATAAGTGTGATACACTGCACTAATACAATGAAATATAAAAATTATATGATCATATCACTAGATATAGACAAAGCATTTGACAAAATTCATCATCTTTTAGTGGTTCAAAACTCTCAAAAATTGAGTTTAGAAGGAGTTTACCTTAGCATAATAATGGCCTTATATGAAAAACAGAGTAAACATCATATTCAATAGTGAAAGATTGAAAGATTTCTCTCTAAGATCAGGAATAAAATAAGAGTGCCTCCTCATAGTACTGAAAGTCCTAGAAAGAGCAATTAGACAAGAGAAAGAAATGAAAGGCATCCAAATCAGAATGGAAGAAGTAAATTGTCTCTGCAGATTATGTGATTATATATACATAAACCTTAACACTCCACCAAAAATCTATTAGAACTAATAACAAAGTGGCACGTTACAAAATCAACAAACAAAAATCAGTTGTATCTCTTTCTTTCTTTCTCCCTTTTTTTCTCTTCTTTCTTTCTTTCTTTCTTTCTTTCTTTCTTTCTTTCTTTCTTTCTTCTTTCTTTCTCTCTCTCTCTCTCTCTCTCTCTCTCTCGAGTGTGTGCACGAGGGGGGGGGGGGAGAGGAGGGGCAGAGGGAGAAGGAGAGAGAGAATCCTAAGCAAGGCTCCATGCCCAGTGTGGAGCTTGATCTCACAACCTGAACTGAGCTGAGATCATGACCTGAACTGAAATCAAGAGTCAGACACTTAACGGACTGAGCCACCCAGGTATCCTGATCAGTTGCATTTCTATACACAAACAGTAAATCATTTGAAAAAAATAATTCATTTATAATACAATAAAAAAATGTATACTTAGCATAAATTTTACCAAGGATAGGAAAGATCTGAATGATAAAAATTATAAGAAATTAATAAAAGAAATTGAAGAAGATACAAATAAATGGAGTGATATCCCATGTTCATGGATCAGAAAAATTAATATTGTTAAAATGTCCATACTATGCAAAACCGTCTAAAATTCAATAAAATTCCTCTCAAAATTCCAATGACAATTTTCACAAAAGTGAAAAATATCCTAAAATTTGTATGGAAACACAACAGACCCTGAACAGCCATAGTAATCCTGAGGAAGAACAAAGCTGGACAATTCCTGATTTCAAATTTTATCACAAAGTTATAATAGAACAGTGTAACTGTCATAAAGATAGACACACAGACCAAAAGAACAGGATTGAGAACCCTGAAATAAACCCACATATATATAATCAACTAACATTTGACAAAGGAGCCAAGAAGAGGCAATGGAGAAAGGATAGTCTTTCAATAACTGGTGTTGAGAAAACTGTTCAACCACATGGAGAAGAATGGAATTGGTATCCTATCTTATACCATTCACAAAAAATTAACTCAAAATAGATTAAAGACTTAAATATAAGCCCAGAAATTGCAAAGATACAGGAAGAAAACACTGGGCAAAATCTCCCTGATATTGATCTTTGCAAATATTGTTTGGGTATGACACCAGAGATGCCAAGACAAAAGCAAAAATCAACAAGTGGAACTACACCACACTAAAAGACTTCTGCCTAGGAAAACAATCAGCAAAATAAAAAGGCAACCACCAGCATAGGAGAAAATATTTACAATCTATCTGATAAGGGTTTAATGTCCAAAATATATAAGGAACTCATGCAGCTCACTAGCAAAAACCACACATAATCCAATTAAAAAATGGGCAAATGCCATGAATAGACATTTCCCCTCCCCCAGAAAATAATACAAATGGCCAATAGTTACATGAAAATGCACTCAATATTATTAACCATCAGGGAAATGTAAATCAAAACCACAGTGAAATATTACTTCACACCTGTTAGAATGCTAGTATCAAAAAGGCAGGAGAAAACAAGTGTTGGCAAGGATGTAAAGAAAAGGGAAGCCTAGTGCACTGCTGGTGGGAATACAAACTGGTGCACTTGTTGTGGAAAACAGTATGGAGATTCCTCAGAAAATTAAAATTAGAACTACCATTGATTCAACAATTCCATTTCTGGGTATATATTCTTCAGGGCTGTTTCTATTATATTTAGTTGTGGTCAAATATCTCCCTTCTGGCCTTCATGATATTCTCATGTACTCCATTAATGCTTTTGCTATCTCCCCTCCACCCCGTCCCAAAGACTTACTCACTCAAGCTCTAAACCCCAGGAGACATTCTGAACCTAGTCTAACTTTCTAATCATACTCATATTTTAAAATTAAAAATAAAAGTAGAAAGAAAATGTTTCATTCTTACTGAATTTATGCTGAATATTTCTCAAATACTTTCCCTTTTTTTCTTCCTAGTTTCCCTGTACCTGTTAAGACATCTGACTTGATTATTACAAGTTTACTAGCTAGTCTCCCTGCCTCTTGTGTTTACCCTCTTAAATCCATCCTTCTTGTTTCACACAGAGTAATGTAATCAAATATAAATTTGTCCACCCTGCTCTCCTGCTGGAAGAAACTCAACAACTTGTCATCATTTTCACCATTATTTTCTCAGTATGTATTTCCTTAACTTCCTTTCAGCCTCATAACCTACCAACCTGCCTCTGTTCTATGATCTAATTATAATAATTACATTGCTTCATTTCAGTGTTTCATGCTGCTCCGTGCTTTGCTGTTTATGCTTTTACTGTTTTCTTTTACCTGATTTCCTTTCCTCCTCTTTTTATCTGGTTAATTTATTCCCACGCTTTAATATGCACCCCATGTGGCACCTCTTTCATGACAACTTTCCTGAACCATGAGATGCCCCTCAGGTGTCTTCAGTAGCTCCCTGTGCATAGTTTTACCTTAGTCCTTGATTTATGTTTGTTGTCCTTCATTAGACCGTTAGCTCCCTGAACAGTGGATAATATATTATTTATCTGTGTTCCTCTGGTGCCTAGCACAGAGTCAGTCATGTAGGAGACACTATAATTGCAGCTTGTGTATCAGCTTTTGATGTGGTATTTCAAACTCTCATACATATATTACCATTGTATGCTTGGGAACTGAAAGGTTTTATACCAGTTCTGGTTATTGTGAACTTGAGTATGCATGCATATTATTGTAACTGATAAATAATATAACTGTTTTATTCTTATTTAGAAAATATTTAGGCTCTTAATAATTATGATCTATAATAAGTTAAAAGCATTTAAAGCTACATATGAGTTCCCTGTGTTTTTACAGTCAGGATTAAATATCCAACTATGATACTCAGCTTTTCTAATTTTTTTTTTTCTACAGATTGCTGCCAATTCCTGGGGAAAGTCATGGGGAGAGAATGGCTATTTCAGGATTCTTCGAGGAGTAAATGAATCTGACATTGAAAAGTTGATTATTGCAGCTTGGGGCCATCTGACAAGTTCAGATGAGCCATAACATATCATTAAATTTTCATAAGGCCATACATTTAAGTAACCCCGTAAATTGAAATTAAGCAATGTGAGGTTCTCTGTGACAGTGGAATCTTTGTCTCTTCACCTTGTTATTATAATGTGCCTGTTTTCCTGTTTCACCCCAGGCTCCATGCTTCTGCTTCCTTTATATCACTGGACATATAAAAACACTAATAGAGGACAGCAGAGTAGCTAAATGCCTTTAAAATTTTCTGGTTGTCTTTCTTTTTCTCTCATAATAATGTCCTTTTTGACTTTGATAGTTCACAAAAGTGTGACAGTACTTGTCATAAAAGTTCATGGCATTCCTTTGTAGAAATGTAGTAGTTTCTGTCTTTAACCAATGAGGATTTCAGACAAAAAACAAAAACAAGCAACAACAACAACAAAAAAAACCCAGAATAATGAAAACACCAATTTACCATCTTCATGATTTTTTTCAATGTTGTCTTAATTCATGTCTTGCTTATGATTTTCCAAAAACAATGGAAATAGATTATTAATTGTTTCTCTCAATAAGCTAACATTTGTTTCTTTTCATTGTCTTAACCAAACTTGCAATTTAAATTCAAAAGGAAAGTAACTCTCCACAGGAAATAACTATTCATTATGGTAGTTTACTCTTTATACTGTGTAATGGCCTGTGCTGTAAAGAAGATGGTAGCTGGGAGGGAAAATTTCCCACCACCTCTCTTGGTTCTTTTGCCCACTCTCATAATTATATTAACAGATTTACAGGATAAAAACAGATATTTAATTATTGTATGTACAGATGCCCCATAAAAATATGAGTCTCAAATAAGGGACTGAAGCAGGCATCTTTTATACCTCCTAGACAAAGAAACAATAGATTTGTGAAGAACTGACAAGACAAAGAAACCCAGGTTTGGGTACTAATAGGTGAAGAAACTAAGCAGAGTTTGCTTACATAGCTTTTTCAGCCCTGAATACCCTATCTCTGGTGCTAAGGATGTCTCTCTATCTTATGGTTCTGGGAGGGTACTTTTCACACAGGAAATTTATTTCCTTTTTTCAGGGGGACAAAGAGGAGTGTCAGAGAATCATTGTACTGGCTATTCTAAAGTAACTTTAATTCAAAGTAGTCAATATGTCAAAGTGGCATATTCTGGGGCAGCCTGCCCTGAGCCCCATCACTGGTAGGTAATGGAAAAGCTTAGAGGCTAACAATAGAAGTACAGTCTTCACACACACGCACACATACCCCTATTTTTTGGAATCCAGTACACTTTGTGTAAAGTCTATTAAAACCAGTTGCAAAGCTGTATTTGGAAAGATAACATATTTACTCCTGAAAACAGCAACCTGATACCATGACTCAGAAAGAATAAATAGACTTTTATCACAACCATTTCACAGTTCAGTACTTAAGATTCTAAAAAGTAAGCTAAATTGACACTAATTTGCATCTAATTTTTATTTTAGTTCTCTATAGTCAGAAAAGCAAAAGTAGCATCATCATAATGGTTGGGAAAGGATATAATCTTTTAATAATCCACTGGCATCTTAAATGGCAAACTAACAAATGAAAAAGCAAAGCTGATCAATAAGTGAGCATGGCCGATTATAATTACAATGGTGGGATATCCGTGGCCTCCAATTTCTGGCACTCTGTCATCGGAATTTTCATTTTGGAACTTTTCTATGCTTTTGTGCCCTGATTAGATAAACCAGACAAGCTGAAAATGTAAGGAAATTGAGCACAGAAAGTGAGCTTAGCTGCAGTTCCTTTCTCCATTAATCACTGCAGCTTCATCAGAAGCAGCATCTACTGACTTGGTTCTGCCCTAGATTTTACCCACAAGGCTGATTCACCTTGGCCAAAGTTCCCCCAGTGGACTGAGAAATAATTTGGTTTTGTTCCAATTTAGATTGCCCACAAACAGGCCCTGAGACAAAGGTTTGAGTGCACATAGTTTGAGCAGTGAAGAGAATACTGAAGAGCGTGAGTAGTGATGTAGGGTCACTGAAGGCAGACAACAAAGGCTGCATTCCCAGGCAAAGTTGTACCACAGGCAATGTGTTCTTACCCCACTAGGGGCGGTTCATATATTCCTCAGATAAATGTCACCCATGAAGGATGTGTGTTGGTTCAGGACTGCTCCAGAGGGCCATGAATTTCTTGGTTTTTCTGAACTGGCAGGTTGTAGTGTCAAGAAAAAAACCCATAGGCAAAGAAAAGCAGGTTCTGGGAGTTGGATGTCAGGCTGATGTCCACTGAAATGGCACAGGTGAGGTGATGTGTCTCTGTCATAGGTGTTAAAATATTTTTAAAACATTCCTTAGATGCTAAAAGCTGAGGAAATAATAAATGATAATGCACTAAAATGACAGATGATTAACCTCACTTTTAAAAACACATAATTGCTGTCTATGTTATCTGCTATGATTTTGATGGATTCCTGTCTCACGTGTAGGTCTTTCATTCATTTTTAGTTTATTTTTGTGTAGGTGTAAGAAAGTGGTCCAGTTTCATTCTTCAGCATATTGCTGTCTAATTTTCCCAACACCTTTGTTGAGGAAATGGTCTTTTTCCCCTTGGATAGTCTTTCCTCCTTTGTCAAAGATTAGTTGATCAGAGTTGAGGATCCATTTCTGCGCTCTCTATTCTGTTCCGTTGATCTGTGTGTCTGTTTCTGTGCTAGTACCATATGATCTTGATGATTACGGCTTTGTAAAACAGCTTGAAGTCTGGAATTATAATGCCTCCAGCTTTAGTTTTCTTTTTCGACATTACTTTGGCTATTTGGGTCTTTTCTGGTTCCAAAGAAATTTTAGGATTGTTTGTTCCAGCTCTGTGAAAAATGCTGATGGTATTTTGATAGGTTTGCATTGAATGTGTAGATTGCTTTGGGTAGAATAGACATTTTAACAATATTTGTTCTTCCAATCCATGAGCATGGGATGTTTTTCCATTTCTTGATGTCTTCCTCAATTTCTTTCTTAAGCATTCTTTAGTTTTCAGAGTACAGATCCTTAACCTCTTTGGTTAGGTTTATTCCTAGGTATCTTGTGGTTTTGGGTGCAATTGTAAATGGGATCAATTTCTTGATTTCTCTTTCTTCTGCTTTAATGTTAGTGTATAGAAATGCAACTGACTTCTGTGCATTGATTTTTATATCCTGATGTTTTTCTGAGTTCCTGTATTAGTTCTAGCAATTTTTTGGTGGAGTCTCTTGGGTTTTCTACATAGAGTATCACATCCTCTGTGAAGAGTAAAAGTTTGACTTCTTCTTTGCCAATTTGGATGCCTTTTATTTTTTTGTTGTTGTTGTCTGATTGCTGAGGCTAGGCCTTCCAGTACTATGTTGGACAATAGTGGTGAGAGTAGACATCCCTGTCGTGTTCCTCACTGTAGAGGAAAAGGCCTCAGTTTTTCCCCACTGAGGATGATATTCACTGTGGGTCTTTCATATATAGCCTTTATGATGTTGAAGTATGTTCCATCTATCCCTACTTTGTTGAGAGTTTTTATCAAGAAAGGATACTATGTTTTGTCAAATGCTTTTTTGCATCTATTGAGAGGATCATATGGTTCTTGTCCTTTCTTCTATTAGTGTGGTGCATCACATTGATTGGTTTCTGGATTTTGAACTACCCCTGCAGCCCAGGTGAATAATGTACTTTCTAATGTACTGTTGGATCCTATTAGCTAGTGTCTTGGTGAGACTTTTGCATCCATGTTCAAGTGGTTCAAAGGGGCATACGCACCCCAATGTTCATAGCAACAACATCCATAATAGCCAAAATATGGAAAGAGTCTAGATGTCCATTGACAGATGAATGGATAAAGAAGATGTGGTGTGTGTGTGTGTGTGTGTGTGGAATGGAATATTACTCAGCCTGCCATCAAAAAAAAAAAATGAAATCTTGGCATTTGCAACAACATGGATGGAACTAGAGGGCATTATGCTAAGTGAAATAAACCAGTCAGAGAAAGACAAATATCATATGATTTCACTCCTGTGTGGAATTTAAGAAACAAAACAGATGAACATAGGGTAAGGGAAGAAAAATTAAATAAAAACAGAGAGGGAGGCAAACCATAAGAGACTCTTAACTCTAGGAAACAAACTGAGAGTTGCTGGAGGGGAGGTAAGTCGGGGGATGGGGTAATTGGGTGATGTGCATTAAGGAGGGCACTTGAAGTAATGAGCACTGGGTGTATATGCAACTGATGAATCACTAAATTCTACTCCTGAAACTAATATTACAGCTTATGTTAACTAAATTGAATTTAAATAAAACAGAAAAAAAAGAAAAAAAGAAAAACACATATGGAATTGAGTTGATACACTCTTGTCCTTGTTTGTAAATGGATAAAAGTTGGTGGAATTGATTTTTACATTATGGTTTGTGAATCTAGAATGTAGGCCTAGATTGTATTGTTTTAAAATTTACTACCTTTCTAAGGATCCTAACTGGTAAGGAACCTAACCCCAGAGATTTGAAGAAAAAAAGAAGGAAAATATCACATTCGTAAGCCCCATGGGAAGACACAAGATATATTTGTCCAGTAGTAAGACTAAGACCTAAAGAAAAGACCAAGGCTAGTTTGGGACAGAAGTATACTAATGAGACAAGGAAAATACTATTCCTGAGGTTTGTTGAGTCAGTGTCTTTCTCTGATGTTGCTTCTCATCATGTTTAGCTCTCTTTATTATCCAAAGGTCCTGAATCAATCTTTAGAAAATAGTGGTTGGCATATTATTTCACCAACTCTAGGGAATATTTGTAGAATTGATTGGATTGATGACTGGATGGTTCCTCGTGCACTGTGGCTTTCTTGGCCTGCAGGTATGCCCTACTCATCTCAGCTAGGACTAAGCAATGAGAAAGACCACACATTTGGTGCATATGTCTTTAGAGTTCTAGTCTCTATTTGCATATATAGGGTCTTATTACTTTGTGTTAAGAGTATACAAGGGAAGGGGCACCTGGATGGCTCAGTTGGTCAAGTGTCTGACTTGTGTTTTCAGCTCAGTTTATGATCTCAGGGTCAGGAGATCGAGCCCCACGTTGGGCTCCATGCTCAGGCAGAGTCTGCTTGAGGTTCTCTCCCCCTCCCTTTGCCCCTCTCTTCTCTCTAAAATAAATAAAATAAATCTTAAAAAAAAAAGTATACCAGAGCTATGAGGAAAACATTGTTCATAATGCATCCAGGACAATGTATCTCAGACTGGATAATACTGTGAGCACCAAAACCTGGTTTTCTTACTGTCCAATCAGAAGTTTGTGCCATTTACATACTTTTCATGGGTTCCAGTGTAAACCGTTTACTGTGTATAGTTTTTCCTTGGAAGAAGAGGAGATAGTCCCAATGTAGCATATTGAATTAAAGTTTTCCCACTCTACTCAGTTGAATAATGCTTCTTTCT